TCCTGTGCTGGGGACCCAGAGCTGGAGACAGCACTGTAGGCGTGGTCTCACCTGAGCAGAGGGGCAGAATTCCCCCCTCACCTGCTGCCCATGCTGTGGGGATCAGTCCAGCACACAGGGGAGCTTCTGGGCTGGGGCATGTCCAGCGTCTCACTCACCAGCACCCCCAAGTCCTCCCCAGGGCTGCTCTGGATCCCTTGATCCCCAGCCTGGATTGATACTGGGGGTTGCCCATTATGGAGTGGAGAGGGGGTGCATGGAGCCAGGGTTGGGGGTCTTGCAGTGAACACCCATCCTTCCTTCCCTGCAGCAGCTGCAAAGCCTCAGAGCACAAGAGCTGGGGTGGCAAAGGGGAGGCCAGGAGCCGTGGGGCAGCCAAGGAGAAGACACTGGAGTGTGGTCAGATCGTATGGGGCCTGGCTTTCAGCACCTGGCCAGCAGCTGAGGAGGGGGAGACAGATCCCATCTGTGCCGTGGGGCTTCCCTGCCTGGTCCTGGCCACTGGCCTCAATGATGGGCAGATCAAGGTCTGGGAGGTGCAGACAGGTGAGTGGGCGTCGCTGTCATGGTTTTGGACTGCTGTCTCTCCCCTTGTTACCCCATGGAAGGAGATCCCATCTCCATCCTTTCCCAATACCTCCCCTGCCCCAGCGGGGCTGCCTGTACGTGAGGGGCACTGCCTCGTTCCCCATGGAGGGATGACACTGAGCATGGCTGCTCTCTGCAGGGCACCTCCTCTTCAGTCTCTTGGGGCACCAGGATGTCGTCAGAGATTTGAGCTTTGCTCCCAATGGAAGCCCCATCCTTGTATCGGCCTCGCGGGACAAGACCTTGCGTGTCTGGGACCTGAGCAGAGATGGTAGGAGTGTGCAGGGATGTCAGCCCTGACTGAGGAAAGAGGGGGAGAAACCCACTTCGGTGGGGAGATGGTGAGAGGAGACCTTTGGGGACAGTATTCAAGGCAAAAGGGGAGAAGCCTGTGACAGGGAGCAGAGACATCCCCTTCCAGGTGGTACCTGAGAGGTGCAGGAGAGGGTTGCAAGTAGACAGACCTTGGGATGTGCCCAGGGAACCCTCAACCCAGTGTGAATTCCCTCTGAGGAAAGAGAAGGAGAGCAGGGGGAGGGCCCAGCTCTGCCTGTCCTGCTCCCCTCGGTGACACACATATCTGCTGTCTCCAGGGCGGCAGGTCCAGGTGCTGTCAGGCCACGTGCAGTGGGTCTACTGCTGCTCCATTTCGCCAGACTGCAGCATGCTCTGCTCCGCCGCCGGAGAGAAGTCGGTGAGTCCTGCAGGATGGGAGCCATCTGTGTGTCCTGCTGTATGCAGCACTCCCCTTGGTCCTCCATGGCCCCCAGTGCAACAAGCTTCTCTGGGAGAATGGCCAGAACCATCCTCTCTCTTCAGCCATCCAGGCTCTGTTTGGAGGAGTTGGGGGCAGAGTCTATGTGGCTGAAGCCCTGGGATGCTCCCAGCCTGATCCCCTTCCCGTGTCCTGCAGGCGCTGCTGTGGAGCATGCGATCCTACACCCTCATCCGGAAGCTGGAGGGGCACCAGAGCAGTGTTGTGTCTTGTGCCTTCTCTCCAGACTCCGCGCTCCTCGTCACCGCTTCCTACGACGCCTGTGTCATCATGTGGGACCCCTACACTGGGGAGCAGCTGAGGACACTGCGGTACAGAGCTGGGGGGTGCTGTGGGCCGGGGCAGAGCAATGCCATGGAGGTTTTAGGGCTGGATGTGGTTTTCCCTCCTAGCTGAGCATGGCCACCCCCTCTTCTCTGCCTCCAGGGGAAGGTTGGGGGTATGTCTAAGTTTGGCCACTGCCAGCCCTGGAGCACTGGGGAGGAGGTTCATGGGCAGCCCAGGGCTGACGCTGGGATGTCCTCCCCACCCACAGCCACGTCCCCTTGAACTCAACGCTGGATTACAGCAGTGAAATCCACACCAGCTCCCTGCGCTCCGTCTGCTTCTCCCCCGAGGGCCTCTACCTGGCCACAGTGGCGGATGACAGGTGAGTGAACTCCCGTGGGGACCTCCTGTGGGGAGAGGGTCCCAGGAGACCACCACCAAAACAATCCAGGAGTCCAGGACGTGTGGTGGGGAGCAGACCTGGTGTGCCAGCTCCCCACCAGTTCCCAGAGTGAGGGGAAAGGGGAGGCAGCTGGGAGCACTGGGGCTTGGCTGTGACAAAGGATAGCAAGGTCAGGGCCCTGTCACCCTGCAGAGCAGTGAGCTGGGGTCTGCATCCTCCTGCTGCTGTGCCACCCTCACTGTGCCCCTCAGCATGTCACTCTGCAGGGAACAGTCCTCCCTGGCACACTCCCATGATGCTCTAGGCCCACGAGAAGCAAATCCTTCTCCAGAGTCTGCGTGCCTTCAGGTGATCCTAGAGGCTTTTTGCTACAGGCACTGCATCGTGCGTCTCCCTTTCTCCATAGGCTCCTGAGGATCTGGGCGTTGGAGCTGCGCTCTCCAGTGGCCTTTGCTCCCATGACCAATGGTCTGTGCTGCATGTACTTCCCACACGGAGGTTTCATTGCCACAGGGTGAGTAAACAGGCTGTTTCCTCCTCCTGCAGCTCTGGCTCTGTTCAGCAAATCCTGGGCTTCCCTGGTGGTGTGGGATGGTTTTTCTGGGCTGGGGATGCATGATTGAGGCTAATTGGAGTTTTCTTTTGTTGCTCTGCCCGGTGCTCACTTTCTTGGGGGTTTTGTTGCAGGACCAGAGATGGCCATGTCCAGTTCTGGACAGCTCCGAGGGTCCTCTCGTCACTAAAGCACTTGTGTCGCAAAGCTCTGCGCACCTTCCTCACGACGTACCAGGTCCTCGCGCTCCCCATTCCCAGGAAGCTGAAGGAATTCCTCACTTACCGGACTTTTTAAGGCAGCAGGGAAACCAGAGGCACGGAGGTGAGAGCCCTGTGCCCAGCTCAGCCTGGGCCAGAGGCACCGCAGGAACGCCGCCTTGCTGAGCCGTGGGACAGGAGGAGTGCTGCTCCCCTGGTTTTGGGGCTGTGTCGGGATGTTTTTGGTGTAATAATACTAAAATCCAGCAAAAACGCATGCAGAGGGCAAGGGGCAGAGCTGCAGTGGCCCTGCAGGGGACACAGGTCCCCTTGTCCCTTGCTATCTGCAGGTTAGGTGCTTCTGCTTCCAAGTGCAATGGTGTGGGGTGACAGTTGAGCAGCCAGTTGAGTGTGGCTGTTGTCACTCGCATGAACATGGGGCTTACCCACCCCCAGAGCACCACCTGCCCCAGGACCAGTGCTCGGTCCCCCGAGGGACATGGGCTCTGCCATTCTCCTGCTGTGGGCAGGAGCTGGACAAGCCTGAGCAGGTCTCTGTGGACTAAACAGCCATGACAGAATAAAACATGATTCCTCATGACTTCCCTCTTGGCTGGCAGAGGTGCCCTGGGGGCACTTGGCACCGCAGCTGGCTGTGGGCATGAAGTGTGGCAGAGCAGTACGTGTTCAGCGGTGGGTGAAGGTGGGACATGGGGCTTCACTCTGCCCCTAGTTCCCATTCCTCTGGTGTTTTTTATCTCCATGCTGGAGCTTGGCACTCAAGTAGCCAAATTTCCAGACATGCTGAGCATGGGGCAGTGTTGTGTGTTTATCCCTCTCCTCCAGCTTAGCTGTGGCTGGAGTGACAGCACATTCCCTGTGTGCTGGTGGACTTGGTTTGTGCATGAGCCCAAGGCTGTGATGGAGAAAACAGGGAATGTTTCCTTTCAACTGCTTTCCAGGATGTTTTTTTCTCCTGTGAACAGCTGAACACAGAAAGCTGGTGCTTGCCTAACCCACCACCTCCCTCCAGGAGGGAAAAAGAAAGACCAGTGCAACCTGCTGGGCTTTAGAGGCACCTGTATTTCCTGATGCAGCTTGGGAATAATGCTACCATCTGACTGCCGTGCCCTGGCTGTGGGCTCAAAGCTTCCAAAAAGGGAGGGGAATGCTGCAGGGGGCGGCTCCAGGCAGACAATCCTTCCCTGCTCCAGAGAGATCCGGCAGCATGAGCAAGAATCCACACCTGGCAGGACTCAGGCTTCAGCCACCACCAGGTCCCTGGTGACTTGGAAAGCAGCAATGAGGGAGCTCAGCTGGATCTTCTCGCTGGTCCCAGCAGCCAAGCGGTACCTGGAGCAGGAAGCAAGGGCAGGTTTGGATGTTTACACCAGTGTCAGTACCCCCCAGTGCTGTGCAGGGCTGGGGTGTCTGCCAGCAGTGCCCACAGGCCGCCAGGACCCAGCGCAGCGCAGTGGAGTGACCCCTGTGTGGGGAGTGACACTTACTCGATGTCTGCCATTTTGATCAGCAGCTGGATGCGGATTGAGGGTGGGAAATCCACTGTGGAGAGAAGGACACACCTCAGTGAGGGCTGGGGGATTGCCTGGCCCTTGCAGGGTCAGCCAGAGCTGGCCCCCACATCCCCACCTCTGTGCACAAAGAGGTGAATCTCAGTGAGGATGTCCTGCAGGGCTAAGCCCTTCAGCGTCTTCAGCTCTGTGATTTCTGGGATGAGAGTGAGTCAAGGACTTGCTTCCAGGCTTTTCCCTGCAAGATCCCACTCTTTAACGCTGTGACAACCCCAAGGAGCCTGCCCAGTGAGCAGCACCCACCCCAGCCGGATCGGGAGGTCTCAAGACCCTCAGGAAAGAGCAGGGAATAAACCCCAGGGAAAAGGATACTGCGATAGGCAGTGGAAAAGTCCTGGTTCAGCATCCAGTCAAGGATGTTGGCAATGTCAGACTTGAGGGGATGTCCCGTGCAGGTGTAGACGTTCTCTTCTGTCACCTTCCCGAAGGCCATGTTGGTGCTCTGAGGAAGAGGAGAGTGGAAGAAAGATGAAGAGGGGGGCAGAGGGAGGATGAAGAGGCCCCTCCAGACCAGCTGCCTGCATGGTCACAGTCCTACCTGCAGGATATTGAGAGCTCTGCGCATGTCACCACTCGAGAGGGTCACCAGAGCCTTCATCCCATCCTCAGTCACATCCACCCTGGAAAACAACAGCTGTGGCTGCAGAGGCAAATGGAACTGCAGAAATCCAAACCTGCTGTGGGGGAACAGGGACAAAGGGGGTGCAGGGGGTGCTGTGGAGCCCCCCACTCACCCCTCCTCCTGAATGACGTGCTGCAGCCGGGGCACCATCAGCCCCGCGGTGAGGGGGCCGA